GGAAAGCCTGCTGATCTTGTTGCCATACAATTCGAGTGTCTGCAGCTTGGCCAGGCCCTGGACTGCAGGAATGGTGATCATCTTGTTAGAACGCAATTTCAATGTCTTGAGCGCGCGCAGTCCAGAAAAGGCTGCTGCGTCAATCTGCATCAATTGGTTTTCGCTGAAGTCTATGACCTGCAGGGCCGCATTGTGACCGAAGATGGCTCCGAGCTCCGTGATGCGGTTGCCCTCAACGATGCGGCGGTGAGTCTTCTCGTCGCTTTTGCCGCCCAAGAGGAGCTGTTCCAAGAGGGGCATTTGTCTCAGGACCATGGCCGAGAGGTGCGACAGCTCGTTGTCACCTTGGCATCGGCGCATCGGGTACATGGCTTTGTGGGACAAGGGAAATGCACATCGTATCAGATTCAGATTCACCGATAACAATGGGAAAATGAGGAAATATGTGGAAAATGATCATGAATAATCAGGAAAAAACAGTTCCAGCTGCTGACAAGAGACTCATGGTCAACAGTTTTAGCTTCTCCAAGCCTCTGAAGGCATCGTCGTGCAGCTCTTGCAGCTTCGTCCGCGTCAAGTCGAGTTGCTCTAAGCATCCGAGACCTGAAGCAAGACGTAATGCTTTACACATTCACATGTGACACAGTCTCACAAACAGAACGTGCCACAAGCAAAGAACCTCTGCGTGCGAAACATCGCAAAACACCCTCGGACCTGCGAAGAGGTTCGGAGGCAAGTGGATCAAAGTGTTGTTCGACAAGGAGAGGCGCTGCAGGCGGCAGCCCAATGAGCTCAAAGCTTTTGGATCGATGGATGTGATGTTCTTTCCCGCCAGGTTCACCTGTCGAAACACCCCAGCACACCGCGGCACAGTGCTCCACGCCACTATCCGAACAAACTCTGGTCGCTACTTTGCCTGTTGTTGGCGGAGGACGGCAGCAAGTGAACAGCTGTAAACTTGTAGGCCATCTGAGCCAGCACTTTTAGAGCACTGGCACGGAAAGCACCTTGGGAAGCGATCAGGACATCAAAATGCGTCGAACAAATGTTGCAACGCGTCTCCTGAGAGCTCGGCTTCATGTTCTTTCCGTGGGTCATTGGAAAGCCTTCCTGCCACAGCAATTAAACCGTAAAGCATTTGGAAACCTGATAGAACCCACGAACCGGAATGCACATTGTCTAAAGCCACTTACAGTAATATGAAAACAGTCTTGCTAGTCTTGATCAGTTGCAGTGTATACTGACTTTCACCTGTCACTGTACCATTCTAGACTGTGGAGTTCAGAGTGTGAAGTGTGAAGTCTGGAGTGGGGAGCGTGGGGTTGCAGTGGGGTGGAGGATGTTGAGTTTAAAGTGTGGAGTGTAAAGCGTGGAGTGTGTGCAATGTGTACTGTGGGAAGGCAAGTCTCGCCAGCGCCCCTGCAATTGTGCATCCGGTTTTAGACGTCCAAAGCCATGTTTTCGCAGATTTTCAGGGCTCATGAGCTGTGGACAGCTTCAGTTTACGGATATGTTCCCTCTAAGTTCAGCTGCCAGATCTGTACTGTCCTTTTTCTTGAATTTTAAAAAGCGGTAAGGAGAAGTACATGGGTTTGAGATGTCCATGGGTTTGTTTTTGCATCAAAGAATTCAAGCTTTGAGAGCTATCAGCTCCAGTCTGACCATCAATGGTGAAAGTCGAAAAAACTGGTGGAAACAATGCGGGCCAAAAGCGACCCTATTCGTGCAAAATAGGACACTATCCGGGCAAAAAGACAAAAAACGCCGAAACGGTCTTGAAATGGATTTCAGAATGTATGAAATTGATTGAAATTGTCGCAACTGATGCACTGAATCATTATCACCCATACCCAAACTCATGGATGTTGGTTTGCTTCAAGCTGTAGCTGTCCTCAAGATTAGCTTTGAAAGCAAAGCCAATTCCTCATATCTATATACCATCAATTGATCATGAGCACTGATTATGTAGTGAAATCATCAAAATCCATTCGGGCAAAAAAAAATACTTCAGGCTGAAAGGTCTGCCTCAGGCAAAAAAAAAGCCCTGGAGTTTCTTGGGATTTCTTTGGTATGGACTTCTCTCCTTTTATCTCAAGCACTGCGCCCGCCGCCAACACTCAAAGTCGACTTAAGGAGACCATTCAGAACTTTTGCGCCCGTAACAAAAAACAACTCCCATTCATCATGTTGGAATGTCACCAAGAGCTGCGCCTGCCACGCAAAACCGCATGTCACACCTTTCAAAAGATGTTGCTTTTTTTATAGTTTCTGCAGCTTACGCTTCAGGCATGGCCACATGGTGCCCATCGGTTACGGACGGTTGCCGGCAGCACACGAACGTTGAGCCAAAACATCTCCACCCCCAGAACCCCCAAGGATCAACGGAAACCCTTCGCCGTTCACTACGCATTTGACAAAGAAAAGCAGATCTTGTTTGGCAACTGTCCTGTTTGATGACGAGAACTGTCAGCATGACTAGAAGCCCCATGGAGAGAAAAGCTCCAAAGAGTCTTGGAAGGCACTTGTGTTGTTGCCGTTGGCTCCTGACACAGAAGCAAAACAACACAAAAAGCTTTGTGGTGGCAATCAAAGCAAATCAATTTGCTGGTCCTGCTTTGCACTGGCAAGTTCCAGTTGGTCCGTTGCAAAACATGTGCAACGCAGCAAGCATGGGCCAAGTTAGTATAGACAGCAGCATATCCCAAAAAGTCAGTGGGAAAGGCGAACACTGGGCTGATGCGATTGCCTCAAACGAAACAGTTTCAACATGTTTCATTAAACATCGCGGGAAAAACTGTCTATGTGAAATTTGTACTGCGCAAGTTTTCCCATGTTTGGCTGAGCTTCTGAAGCTCAACGTCAGATCTTCGCCAAAATTACCCCAAGCATCTGACGCTGTTTGCAATCGGAGCATGGCTACCAAGACCTGCAGTTGCTTGCTGGCCATTGAGCGTTTCGCAAATACATTGAAGGCAAGCCGCATCAAAGGGTAAAACGTTGTGACCTCTCAGCGAATTCAAACCATGTCAAACCAAGATACCATGCCCAAATATGTCAAAATGTATCCAAGATCAAGGACTGCATCGGTGAGCGCAGCTCCGATCCGAGTCCAGGGAGTCGGAAAAACCAAAAGCACCAGGGGATAAACGCTGTTCCAACAGAGCAGGACGAAGAACATCCAAAAACCCGCCGTGAGCAAGCGGATCGCGCTCGCATCTGCTTTGTGTTGGGCAAAGGTGACGAGGCCACTCAGCAAAGAGATTTTCCCAAAGGCTTGCACCAGAACGGTGAAACCTTGCAATACAGCCACTTTGACCGGATAGTAGGTCCCGCGCAGTCCGAAATATTTTTCCTAAGCCGTCTCAGACACGTCAGACACACCAATCCACCAAGCAGAACTGATGAAAACCACTGATACAGAAAGCTCGGTAAAGAAATAAATGCCCAGGAACATAGAGCACCTGAGTAGGTTGGGGCCTCTTCTTGCCAATCTTCCAGCGCCGCAACTGCTGTATAAAAACTACCACCAAGACCAGATAGGGCAGTGCGAGACATGTGGCCTTACAGTAGTTCATCCGATTTCCACAATAACGAACTTCTTTGACGCAAAAACATTCAAAGCATGAGTTGCTTTGCAGCTTTTCACTGATTCGCCGCACCTGCAGGATAGTCTCACCGGACTCCTCCCTGTCCAACAGCAAGGCATCCAACAAAAAGCCAGGCAGGTGCGAACGGATCCTGCGACAAAAAATGGGACATGGATGGAAACGGTCACTAATCATTCCATCCCATGCCGCTACAGAATCTACAGAATGAGGCACAAACATGAATCAAACACCACGTCCTGTCAGCATAGCGAAGGAAATACTGCACAGCCATGAAAAGGGATACCACCAAAGACACAATTTGCAATAAGGTTGTCCCTGCAAACACCAATGGTCTGCGCATGTCCGGCACATAGTTGCGCAACCTCGCGACAACGTGGGTGGAACCTCCTCAGAATTCTCATCTTTTGTATCTGTATCACCCATCATCACCCATCGCTCTTGCAACATGTCCATCAAAATGATTCAGTCCACTTCAAGGTCAGCTTCTTTCAATCAAAATGATCACGCCTCATTGAAGTTTCCCACTTCGAGATGAAATCATCCAGCAGGCCAAAGTGCTCGGCCAACTTGGTTACATCGCTGCGCTGATTCTCCAGCCTGCGTCTGATACTTCCAAGAGGAAGTGACAGCGAAAGAAGCGAGACAACGGAACTTATTTCGTGTCTGTGGAGGTTTTCCAACCTAAAGAGCGGAAAGGAATTGGAACAAGGACCGTGCGTCGGCGCTGCTGGCAAAGCCAGCTGAACCAGCTGAACCCGAGAGCACCATAGTGAAACTTGGCCTGGTGAGATTGAAATCCATCAGAAAAACGGAAGCGTAGTAATTGTCCACCTCCAGGACGACCTGCCGCATCGATTCAGGCCTTGAAACAACAGTCGGCTCCATGGCCAAACCCAAACACGTAAACTTGATCATGCAAAGCCTCTTCACCGTATCCCACATCAGTCACGTCACGCTGTAACAGTGTATACATGTGCTACCAGAATGACAATGTGAAGCGTTCAACCGAGCCCCAACCCTTGGCCTGGCAGCACTTGTGGCAGGAAGATTCATTCATCTCTGCAAAAGTGTCCCGGACAGCTGCAATCCGCAAAGACGAAACTTCTTCGCTGTTGATTCTGTCCTGAAATTGTGCAGCTGACGACCAGGCGGTTTCTGTTTGTTTCGCCTTCTGATTTTTGCTGCACTTGTTCATATTTACTGTTTGGAGGTCCATCTGATGGGAAATCCTACTAAGCGCACAAGGGCGACTGGCGCTAGGATGCTGACGGTCCTTGAGGCCATTGAAGGACTGCTGCACATCCAGCATGTTTTTGCAGATCAATTTGCATTGGAGCGCATCCACCACTTTTTGAGGGCCTTGCTTCAATATGCAAAAAAGTTCAGCAAGCATCAAAGCCAAGGTAGGATGGGATGAGGTATTCAGGTATTCCTAGTATCAATCCAGTAACACAAAGTAGGGGGTTCACCACCTCAGTCAGGCTCTGCAGCGCAGTTGAGCTGTTTGGTCTCTTTACGGAATGGACCGCAGGTAGCCTTTCTTACCTAAATGAAGGGGTCGCTATTGGCTGAGTGAATAGGGCAGCAGGATTGAAAGACTTTACAAGGTGAACCTGACGCGAGAGCTGGACATGTCTTGACACTTAGATAGTCACTCTTGTGAGGGATCTTGCATTCAGCACACGAGACCCTTGCTAAGCAGAACAAAAACGGATGAAAGTCAGCTTGCATCCTGTGAAATTCATGTCATTGTGCATTGCTACGATTGAAGCCTTCTCCAGGTCACTTTGAAGTCTGTTAGACAATGTATGTACCAAAACAGCCTACATAGAACCACTGCAACTACTTCTGGTTACAATGTGTGTGCATAGAAATTCTAAGACCGCAGAGTCACTTTGCTGCTCTTCGTCGCTCAAAGATGTCAGCAGCTTCATCTTCACTGTAGCATCGGGCAGTGCCAAATTCATTGCTTTCCTGTGCAAAGACACAACAAGCAGGAAGACATGAAGAGTCTCAAAAAGAAGCAGACAAGGCGCCGAAGCAAATGGAGGTGTCGTTGAGCACCAAGGAATATCTCACTCCTGGCCCAATGGAAACCAGCGTGAAAGAAACATGGAACCCGCTCGTTGAAATGAAAGGGAACAAGATGGAACCCGCTTCTTGAGACCTCCACTGTTCAAAACTCTCTGAAGAATATGCTTTAGCTCATGTCGCTTCCAAGACACAAATCACTGCTTTGTTGACGGAGGTCTCGTGGATCTGCAAAGCCACAGCCCATGGTAGGAACCGTAGGAACTTGAAGACTGTGGAGTTTCTGCGCGGGAAACGAACTGCCCATGGCCATGGAAGGACTGTCGGGCAGCTGCAGCACCTCATCAAGCAAAGCTTTTTCGATAGAAAGTGTGGAGAACAGAGACTTCAGACTCAAAACTCGGAATGTAAAGCATGAAATGTTGTGAAATTGAACCATGGCATTCCGGCCTGCGAATAACTTGTTTCAGTCGCCAAGCACAAATTCAACGCCTGGACTCTCATTCGGTCTAGGCGAAGGCTGGTGGTCACCAGGCTGCCTGAAATCAACAAATGAAAGAAACCTTGAGACAGGCTAAATACTTTCTACACATGCTTGCCACACCTGAGAAGGGAGGGGACGAAAGCCAGCCTTTGGGTTACGGGGTGCCCTCAGGGCAAGCCTGGGCAAAGACTTGGCGTGCAAGAGGAAGTGATTGGGTAACATCGGGCAAAGAAGTTGACATCGCAGCCACACTGATAGGGGGTAGAAGTAGAAAGTAGAATACATAGGTTCGGGGGGGGTGTTTTGTCCCGGTTCAGGGGCATCTTGGAGGTGAAAAAGGGCACCCCTAAGGAAGTGAGGGGGGAGCTTGCCTGCGGCGTGTTGCGAATCAGTGAGCCAAGACGGCTGTTGGGGTCCATGTGCGAGGCTATGGGTAGGGTAGGTGAGGATACATATATGTATATAGGTAGAGTGGACAAAGAGTAGCCGGAAGTGGTGAGACTGATATTGGAGCGACTTGAGTGTGCAAGATCAAGTGATAGGCTAACATTGCGTAAAGAGTGCTTTTATGGGGTGAAGTTGGCATCTCAGGTACACGATGGGAGGTAGAAACAGAAGGTAGAATTAAAAGGGGGGTGCCCTTTTTCGTCCTGGTTCAGGAGTGTTTTGGAGGTGAAAAAGGGCACCCTCAACGATTTTATGTGAGTTTGCCGGCTGCGTGTTGCTAATCAGTGACCAAAGACGGTTGTGGGGGGCCTGTGGGCGAGGCTATCGGCAGGCTTTCGTGAGGACTATATATATATATGTATATAGGTAGAGTGGACAGAGAGGAGCTGGAAGTGGTGCTGTGGATATGGCCGTCACTCGAGAAAGAATGGAAATAGACAGTAGAATACATAGGTTTGGGACAGGGTGCACCTTTTCGTCTTGATGTCGGGGGGGTTGTGGAGGGGAAAAAGGGCACCCCTGTAGTCCGGGGAAGCCCTCCCCCCCAGACCCCCAAATACTCACTTCGTTCGCTATTGCGACGTGTCCATTCCAGTGCCCGGCTTTCCTGCATTTTTGACTGTCAGTGAATTCACACGCGAAGGTCTGGAGCCCAGTGGCAACGCCACGGTGTAGAGGTCAGGAAGTGGGGGCAATGGTGCGTTCGCAGCGCTGAAATATAGCGGAAATGAAGCAGCGAGGATCCCTCCCAAACAGAGTCTTTGCGGCGCTGTGTGAGGTAGCGATCCCCCAATGTAGGACACCGGATCGCACTCCTCTGACTTTGAGGGTAGGGGAGGAGAGGAGTGCAGGCAGCCTGCGCGTCGCAGCAGTGAACATAGCACAAATAAGAAAGGTAGGATCCCCCCAAAGACGTCTTTGCGGTGGACCCCACCTAAATGTAGTAAACAGATACATACGAACAAGCAGCAAACACTCACAACGTGTCAATTCCACTACCGAACTTTCCTGCATCTTACATGACCCTTCTTCCACCTTCTTTCCCTCTTCCTCGTTCTTTTACCTTTCTTCTTCTTCTTGCTTGTTCCTTTGCCATTGCATCCTTTACATCATGATAGCCCTTCTTCACCCATGCCATTGCATCCTTTACATCATGACAGCCCAACTCTGATTGCATCACTTGCATCCACAGCCTCCTCAAAACGTTCAATGTTCCTCAATTTTTGTCCACCCACTTTTGGCCGGTTTTCCCCAATAAATTCTGATTTTTGACCTTCCAAAACTACCAATTTTGCAACGCCCCTCCCCCCACACCCCCAAATACTCACTTCGTTCGCTATTCAGATCTTCAGCCTAGCCTACGGCTGGCTTTCGTAATCTTACCATATCTTGCTATGTGTCTCCAAATCTGACCATGCTTGCATGCGCAACCTTTGACAAAAATTTGGCACTGGTTAAGCCATAGCTTTGTTTGAGTTTCCGGTGATTTCTTGGAGAAGGCAGGCACCGCCCTTGGATGGCACTGCAAAGCCGAGTCACAAAGCACTGTAGCCCCCAACGAAGTGCACGTCACCGCCCATGGAACTCCCACAGACTCCTCCATTGACAAGCACGCCACAGGGTACCTGGGACATCACTGTGTCGGGTCAAACATAAAGAGTAGTTGTGCCTACGGGTTCCAACGGCAATGGTATCAAAGAACACTTTGCTGACCAGCACTGTCGTTGCATTCACAGGGTGTCATCACTACATAAACGCAGCTCAAGCACAGTGAGAGGAGGATGGCAGCAAGGGCTATCGGGCGCTCAATCTCTGAGGCGGCCTGCATTGCAAAGAGTAAGATGAGCTCGGTCCAATGCCAAGCCTCAAAGCAGAGCTAGGGCCGGGCCGAGCTGTGCAATGTCGATTGACCGAAGCCACAACCAAGCTGCGCAATTTCCCAAGAATACGATCGAAAGAGAATCAAATTTTCTTCCAACATGGCAGCTGTTGTGATTGCGCCCAAGTGGATTCAGATCCTCTTGTTCTTACGGCCAAGGCGCTGTCTGGCAACAAGATGCCAGTTTCCAAGAGTGCCGCCGTAGCCGATGCTTATTGCAAAAGCCATGCATGTTTTCATGGAATTCATTGCAGCTGCTGTGGCTGCAAGGAAAAGGAGCGCATGTAGCGGACCCAGATTCAGAGCTGTCGTCAATATCCACGTGGTCCACTGCCTTGCTATCAGCCAGCTCCACCTCCTGAAGGCCAAGAGCTGATAAGAAAACAGGTCTTGGACTTCTACATAAACAAATCGATTTCTCAAATTCTTTCCACAACTTCCAAACAACAATCCACATCTTCTCCAAAATTCCGGATCGGATCCTGGATAGCTTGCTGACATCCAGGCCGCCACCAGGAATGCCAGGACAGTTCAGTGACTCCCTGGAACACAACATTGAAAGACGTAATTCATGTTCAAATGTTGATCTGGGAGAAGTTTGAGTACATCTTGACTGAAGTACATCTTGAACATTTGTCTCGACTCCAAACACAGCATGAGCCATGCTCCCGGCAGATCGCCTCAATCATCAATCGAAGGTCCAATCCTCTCTGAGAACTCTTCAGTCGTTTGACACAGTCATACCTTGCGGAAGCCCAGTGGCCAAATCAAAATGGTGGTACCTTCAAATCATCAAATATCAATCATTTTTAGTAATAAACCATCCATTTTGGGGGTGCCCAAGTTTCCGAAATGGGAACTTGGCCCCACTCCAAGTTGTTCACTCAAGATCCAAAATGATTCAAGTTGAACACGAAGGATTTTAGGGATTCACTGCGTTCAATGATTTGTGACGTACAGTACATTTGTTGGCAATGCATCGGAGGGTCAACGACTGTTTTGCTTCAGGAAGAACTTGGCCACAGTGGTCGAGTTGTAAAACCAATTCTTCCAGTTGCAGCTTTGCAAGCGGCTCCCATGAGCCCAGCTCCACCAAGGACCTGAGGCACACCGGGTGATGAGCAAGAACCACACACTACGTTTAATGTAACATATCCCAATGTGTAAGAATAACAAATATTAACTTATATACATAGATACTTCCATCAATAGATATGCAGAAAAAACAACAATAATAATTCTTGTGGCGCAAGTATGCCTGCAAGTCTATAGTTTTAATGGTTATCTGTACAAATTCTACAGGTTCAATATCTCTTCACTTTCAAACATATATATATGTATATATATATGCTGTTATAAGACACATGTATCATGTCACGAATCACATCCGCAACAAATAGCATCACTCACAAAAACTCAGTTGCCAACGGCAGGTTGGAGAACCATAGATGCAAAGATCGCAGAGACTGCGCCAAGCGGTGCTCTGTGTCAAGCATCCGCGGCAAGCCTGACACATCTGCCAACCTGGAGCCTGTGAACCGCAGGGTGAGCTGCTCTAGCGGAGGCATCTCCTGCGAATTTGACAGAATGAGACTTGCACACGATCTACTCTCCTTGCACACGATTCAGTCAAATCAAACACTCTGAACGCAATGAGGCGCCGACTCGACGCATGGTCGACTTACATGGTGCTTTCCTCTCATACAGTGAACGGCCTCGAAGTCCCATGATTCGATCCCGCTGAAGCCCAAATCCAAGCGAAGCGTACGCAACTGCCTGCAACGGTGAACGGTGTTTCGCAACTACCTTTTTCAAGGGCAGGAGACTTTCCCTTTTTGCAGATGATGGATGATGATGATGATGGGAGATGTTTTCCAAGTAAAAGATTTTTCCACGCAACGCATCCCCGATCCAATTCGCTCTCGAATCCGGGCTGTCCTATTTTTTAGGAACCCAGGCTTGAGGGTAGACAAAGGTAACTAAAAAATCAAAAACGCTGGAGCCACAAAGCCTAAAGAATCAATGGAAAACATGCTTCTTTAAAGAATAGACACTGACCTTCAAAGATATCAAAGTCTAAAGAATCAGTGCACCCGGATTCGAGTCGAATTGGCCAACCCCCACCCACCTACCCACCTGTAAAGAATTCCAACCCCCAGGTTCCTGGTGGTCCATTGATACTTACAGATTTCATTCTTTAAGACAACCCGGGTTGTCCTATGTTTTAGAGGAAATTCGCACAGTGATCGCAACGCATATATTTTCAAGTTTCCCTTTCACTTTCAACTTGGACTTTCAGCATGTCAAAGCCCTTTTGCCTCGGCAAGTGACGCAGCAGCTGCCGCAGCGAGTCGTTCGTGAAGCCACGGCAGCCCGTGAAACTCAGTTCGACCACGTGTCTTGAGCTGTCAGCCGCCAGGGCTCTTAGAAGGTCATTGGTGTCATGGCCCTGCGCAACGAAGCCAAACCACAAAGCCAAGGCAAAATGTGCTGCAAGCGCCTGGTTCCTCGGAAGAGGAAGGAAGTCAGTTGAAAAACAGGGTTTTGAGAAAAACAGAAAGAGACCTATCAAAGAAGCACCAGAAAGAAACACGTTGCGCACCACATGCCAAAAGTTGATCAAGAAGGTTGATCAAGGGCCAGCATCACAGCGAAATAATTTCGATCTTGAAGTGGCGCCACTTCGGTTAGCTCCTACAGAGAAAGCATGGAAAGCTGAGTTAGCGAGCATAAATCATCAGAATCTATGTAGTTGTATGAGCTCTTTATTGATTCCGCAGATTCCATAGCAGATGTGTGGAATGTTTCTGCTGTCACTGTCATTGTCAGAATCCGTCCCCCTCTGCACAAAAGGGGGGGACCAGATCCATGGTGAAAAACCGCTGGCAAAGCTGTGCGAGAAATAGGCTTTTGGGCAGGACGAAATCTACATAAATACCCGGTCTTTACAAGCTTCCCCCACTGCAAGCCATGCACCTGGCCTTTGTCCTTGCATGTGGCATTCTGATGCAATTGAGGATGCGGGTCTTGTCTTCTGCTTGGCTGGCTTTGGCCTTCGAAATGTCAATGCCAAGCCCCTGGCCACGGCACACTCTTCATGCTGAGTTGGGGCAGACCATGGGACCATGGCCCGTCTTCACTGAGCAACTCTGACGGTAAAGATCCAAGCTACAAGATTCTTTGCTATATAACTAAGACTATAACCCTTTGCAAAGAAGAGATCATGAAAGGTTCGTCCAAAGAAAACTCTACACGAAACCTACACGGCTTCCGGTCCGCCTTCTGTGCGAGCAAAGTGGGAAAGTTGGCTTCTCGCAAGGATTTCGCCAAAAAACCCAGCAGGGGCATCTGACGTGCCTCTGCGGCTGCCAGGCCATCAGTGATCACATACGCCTCAGATGGCTGTGTATTTCAGGTTTCTCGCAACTGATTCTATGGAACGCGTGCTGCATCGCATTGCCATCGTGCCATCCCTTTCTCAAGGGTTCATGGCATCTCAAAAACATTTTGTCATGGCCTGATTAGAGGAGTCAGTCGCAGCCACATCGAGCAGTAGAGGCGTTCCTGTCTTTCTCTCTTCGACCTCGAGTACTTCGCCGACTAGGTCTATCCATCTCAACAACTTATCAAAAATGCATGAAACATGGGCATGATCCCACCCACTGGCCACCCAAACCTGATGCATACCTTACCTGATCTACATCGTAGATGCACAGCCGTATTGTATTCGAATAAAAGGTTGTACTGTTTCGGACTCGCCACCGTTGTGCGCCACCAAAGAACGGTACCGAGTCGCATCCCTTTGTCGTTTTATGTCATTCGTCTTCATCTTCTGACGCGACTCTTTTTTCTCGTACCCAAACGTCGGTGGGAAATGCTCGATTTTTTGGCCAGGCCACTGCTATGCTTTCTTCGAAGCAGCACCAAATCCTGGTAGAAAGCCGTCGTTGTTTGTGTGTGTGTGTAAGTGTGCAATGCTGTTATAGGCCTATGGCCCCTTTGAGGGGTAGCTAGAGACAGCGTTCCACTGCCGAAGCGTTCCTGGTGAAGGGCGTCGCATCTTTGTCCAAGATCAGCACGGCACCGAGTGACAGTGTCATCGCTTTGTAGAAGGAGGTCGATCGGGGATTCACTGCAATCTCTTCCTGCAAGGAGCACTATGAAATAGTTAAGTGAAGTTATTCCCCAAGCAGTGTGGACACACTTGGGGTTCTTACGGTAGGGGAAAGGCAGCTGATGCTTAGATCGCTGAAGCGCGTGGCCGTGACTGGCTAATTCGCTGCAAATTGCAGCACATTCAATCGTGACTCTCGAAATCCCCGAAGTGCAATTCGACTGCGCAGGCTCGCTGAATCTGGGTGTCTGCGGCGGGTGCTTCTAACGACTGCGCTCTCGTTGTGGTGCCGTGCGCATTTTCGTGCATGGTGGTCACTTTTCGTGGCAGGCGCAAGGGAAACCTCGTGCTTTGGCGCTCCAAAGTCGACATTTCGTGACAGGCGCAAGCCGGGATCGGAGTTTTTTTTACTTCGAAATGCAGTTTTCGTGGCAGGCGCAGCACTTTGGATATGGTGGTGATCGTCGAGGAGCGCAGACTTCGTGACAGGTGCAGTGACTTTTGGACATGTGGCTCGTTTGCAGATTTCGTGGCAGGCACAGCACTTGGTGAACCTCGAAGTGCCGTTTTCGTGGCAGGCACAGCACTTGGTGAACCTCGAAGTGCAGATTTCGTGGCAAGCACAGCATTTGGTGAACCTCAAAGTGCAGATTTCGTGGCAGGCACAGCACTTGGTGAACCTCGAAGCGTGATTTCGTAGCAGGCGCAGCACTTTGTGAGGAACCTCGAAGCGCAAATTTTGGCAGGCGCAGGTTTCGTAGCAGGCGCAGCACTTTGTGCTCTCAGATGCTCACTCTCTCACTCCCTCACTCTCGCTCTCACTCACTCACACACTCTCACACGCACAGTCACACTCGCACTCAATCACACTCACATTCACATTCACATTCACACTCACACTCACTCTCACTCACACTCACTCACTCACTCTCACTCACTCACACTCACTTTCACTCTCACTCACACTCGCACTCACACTCACTCACTCTCTCTCACACTCACTCACACTCACACTCACACTCACACTCACACTCACACTCAC